TTTTTTTTGTTGACTGCTATTTAGTACTGTTTATATACCATCGCCATTTTTCTCTCTTCGTGAAGTGTCAGAAGTTCCGAAACCTCTAAGATTTAACAATATTTAAATTCAATCAACATGTAAACCTGATAGAATATAACTTCAGTACTCTGAATATTGCAATATTAGAGATCTCCATAATTATTTGCTAAGACTGGCTAAGACCTGGAAAATTAGAATGCATGAAAAGTTGCCTATCTCTATTTATGCAACTAACGAGCTTGAGATTGTTTGTGACTGGGTCAGCTGATTTTTGGTGGAGAATTTGTACAGGGCAGCCACAATTGTAAGGCAAAAGTGTGGTGGTGTCTGTCGTAAGATACATTTAGCTCCTTCCTGTATTGTTGGTTCGTGGTTGTTTTCAGTTGTTTTGGTTGTGGCTTCAGAGCGGAGGTTCCTTTAATTTTCCAGAGAGAGCACGTGACGATGTTGATTTGATACAGGGTACACCTGGAGGTTCACTTCAAACCTCCTGCTAGTAGACGGAGTGAAACAGAGAAAAAAATATAGAGACAAGCAGACGTAGGTAACTGGGTCGAAAGATGGGTAATCATCAGTCGAGCAAGAGGGATTCCTCGATGAAGAGCGAAAAGGGTGGAACGACTGGAAGTGGAAACGGGCATCATAGAAAGAAGAGCATCACCAAGTTGATGATGACAACAGGTAGTTCTTCGCCAACAACCAATGGGGCGGATTCACCAACTGCAGCAACCAATAGCAAACCGGCTTCGCAGCTTTTACCCGTCGAGAAACTCGCCAAGGTTAACATTGTTTTACTTTTTAATTACTCACATCCCCTTCCACTGACAGATAACATGAGTCTAAAAATATGTTTTTCTGATAATTTTGATAATTCTGATTTCAACTGATTGTTGCATGTTTTTGTTTTTTTGTTTTCATACAGATTTTAACCCAGAAGACACAGCAAGAGGAAAGTGTCCATGGAGTCGGATTGGCAACATTCTCAGTAAGTCCTTACCTATACCAAATATTTGGAACTATGTGGTCCTGTATGACGAGATGCAGCAATATATTAATTATGTGATGGGTTGCTTTCTTTTTACAGAAATACTTGTTTCCAAGGTATCCTGTTTTAGCTGAAAAGTTGTTCAAGCATTTCCATACACGTGCGAACTCCAAGCACGACCACCTCACCTCCAATGCCTTTAAACAGCAATGTGATAAACTGTTCTCAGTGAGTCTCTATAATACATAAAATGCTCTTTTTAACGTATATATTCAGATATTGGATGATGATACCATAAGGGATAATATGGTGATGATGTTCGCTGACGATCACTGCGAGAGTGGTCCCACGATGTCGCCTGATGGGATGAAGGTGATGCTGATGTGCGCATACCACGTTTCTATGGACCACTACTCCGAGGGTCCTCAGATGTGTCTAGTAATAAGCAAGACGCTGAAGTCCGTCGTCGATAGCTGCTTCCACACCAAGATGCAACTCTCGGTGCAGTTCGTTTCTCATTGGCTAGAAGCCAACTGTCCCAGGTTAATCACGCCTTTACATCGCTATGCTGTCCACTCTCTAGCCACGTCGTACCGCAGTCTTGAGATTGAAGGTCCCTCCCTAGTAGCAGGTACAAACTCTTTCCTCATTTTTATTAAACTTGCGAACGAAGCGATAGAACTCAATTGTTTATTATTTTATAGAGAAACAGGAAGACGATGAATCCGAAGGTATTCAAACTTAAATGTAGTTGAATTGCTTTAGATGGTTTTTTTTATTTCTCTCATTATCTTAGACGTACGCTTTTCTATTTGTAAAATTTAAACTACGTTTACTAATTCAAAAGACATCAAAACAAACACAATTATATATATATACACAATACACATTTCAATCTATAAATACTAACAATTATTACAGTGGTTAAAGTGTTTTTTCAACTTTGTGATTGAAAAAATATATAGTTTGAACAACTCTGGTTTAGACTCTTTGCTCTTAATTGCAGATAGTCTTACTCTTTTTACCACTTTTTCTTTCTGCGCGTGAGTGTGTTTGTGTTTATTAAAAAATAAGAGATTAGATTAGTTTTTAAATGTTTATACATACATCTATGAATAATCCATCTTACTTATTATTTATATTATGTTACTCGATGTACAGAACAGGGGTCGTAATCTCCAAAAGAAACGAATCCTACTTGCTCCGTTAATTGGAAACTTAAGTACCAAGAAAAATATAATTATCTAGGAACATTCTTTTTTGGGTTTTGATTCTTGATCTGCTATACATCAGGGATCGGCAACTTTACAGGTTTATGGATCGACAATATTAATTATTATTTTTAACAGAAAATTTTATCAGTTATGCTAACGTTATTTATAACGTTAATGAATTGTGTTAACGATCTTATATTAGTTTAGATTGTTGATCCCTGTTGTATATTATTCTTATACTAGATTGGTTACTAATGTTGTTGTTTGTTTTATTTAGGTTTGGAATTGGCGACTCCTGTGTTGGAGCAACCACCACCGTTCGGCGATAAACCACCGCATCCTCACCTGCTACAGATGAGCATGTCCTGGTTGTTGGCAGGAGCGCTGCCACCTCTATATTCGCGCCCCCAAAAAGCACACTCTCCGACAAACAGTGGAGTTGGCTTGACCAGCATCGCATTCCTTTCAAAGTTCCTGTGCTCCGTGCCCTCGCATTGGATCAACCTGTACGACTCTGACGAGATGGGTCTCGGGGCGAATCGTTTCTTGCACCACGTGCTCGCCTACAAAGGCGCCACCCTAACACTACTTAAAGCCGAGGGTGGTTCCATCTTCTGTATAGCTGCACCATGCGAATGGAAAGAGACCCACGTGTACTGGGGCGGTGAGGAGTCCTGTTGCTTCCAGCTCTTCCCTAAGTAAATAATTTAGAAACATTGACGCATCAAATCCACTAATATTTATTTATTTTTAATGTTCAGATTCGCGATGCTCGAGAAGGGCTCAAAGATGCTATACCTGAACACCTCTGTGCGCGGATATCCTTTGGGTCTAAGGGCGGGCAAGGATCCCCGCGCTCCAATCATATCCGTGGAAGGCGGGTTTGATAAGGTATTTGCTACTTGCACTGAAACTTTTTGATAAAACTAACCAACTTTTGTTCGATACAGCTGCAGTTCCGTAAGATCCCCTACAATTTGCAGTGCATTGAAGTATGGGGATGTGGTGATCAGAGCAGTCGGGAAGTACAGCTGGATATCAAGAAATGGCAGGTTAAAGAGGCGGAGCGACAGCGTTGCGTGAAATTGAGCGCCGCTGATTGGTTGGATCATCCTGATAGGTATTTGCTAGAATTGGCGGGTCGACCCCAATATCACCAAAAACAGAACTAGCTACTGTCCTTTCAAAATTCCATCCCCAAGGTAAATTTCTTCTTTTTTATAACGAACACAGACACAAATACTATTTGACAAATTAACAATAATTATTATTTTACAATTTGGTGCCATCTACTTACTTTGTACTCAAACTATTCTCAAATTTAGAGAGGTGCAGTATTATCTTGATTGTTGATAGGAAAGGCACTGACTGAAACAATTAGTGATCATTTGTGTGTCATGTCTTCCTTACGATTCGGTACTTAATTCATATTAGTATTACTGTTATTTGGCACTCGTTTATTATTAATTATTACTAATATTAGATTGTTATTCCAATATATAAATATATTTAACGTAGGAGAAGGCAAGGAGAAGAGAAAGAGAAAATATTTTATATTCGGAACGAGTTTATTAGATACTTAACAAGGAAAACGACAGACTAATTGTATTATTTATTATTTATATTATTGTATTATATTACTATTATTATTTCATTTGATTGGATTTATATATGTTATCTATCCATCGCGAAGGGAGAGGAGCTAAAGCGAAATTTCTAGTTAATCTTGTCAAATATACATATATTTATATTATATTGTCAATATTTTTGCAAGTTGTAAAAAGGATTGAGATGAATCTGAAAGGATAACCGACCCGATCTACAAATATATATATTATATACACGAATGTAAATTATTTATAAATACATACCTCCAAATACCAATAACAATTCCATATGTAACATATACACGCGTGTATTTTTGGTTGCATGCTTCTTACTTTTATGTTACATTCAATAGCATAAACGTGGCGAAAACGTAGCTAAGAAAGAGAGAATAAGATACTTGACAAGTTACTTGTCGAGCCGTAAGTATAACAAAATGTAAGTTATTATTTTTTATGCTGCCTTCTTTTTATGAATCCATCATTCACTGTATACAGATTGGATGGTTGCAATGTTGGCGGCAATGGTAAGCATAAGTCATCGGAATTCCGTTGGCGTCGCGCGCGTTCGTCGTGTCTTTTGACGTTCAAAAATTTCGCATATCCAAATAAGGCATTTTAATAATTTCCACGCTGGTTCTTTGCCGCCCATGGCAGACCTCTTCGTTCCAACTTAGTAAACTATCCAACACCGATCAGAACGCTTCAAGACGCACCGTACAATTTCCAAAATTGGACGCGAGTGAATGCATGTGTTTGCGCATTGTTATCATCACGTTTTGTTTTCCTTGCGGGGGGGAAGAAAGGAATAACACGACGGCAAAGAAACGACAACAGCAAAGGAAAAAGGGATAAATAAGAGTATAGAGCGGTACGCGGATTAATATTACTCTCTTTTCTCTCCTTTCTTGTTTCCTCGATTTTTGAATGTGTCGCTGTTTGTGGTTGGTGGCACGTACTTGGTGTTTCCGCTGAGAAAAGTACATTGGATTTACTTGGGTCGGTGAAGGCGGAGCGGACGGGTGGACCAAGTGCTGAAGAAGAAATCATCGAACATAGTTGCAGGGTAGAAGTTAGCATTCGCAAAAACCAAGGTAACTGACCAAACAAAGAAGCAGCAATAATAAATAATAACAACAACAACAAATGAGAAATAAACAAACGAAGAAAAGGAAAGAAGTAGAACCGCTGCGGGAGGCGGCTACAAAGAGTTGGCGGTTGAAGAGGAGGAGGTGGAGGCTGCATTGACGACGACGACGTCGGCTGCATCCGAAATGTTCGTTTAAATTTAAATCGAAAAACACCCCACCCAGAGATAGTAGCTATTAGGATTCGAGCAAGAGAGAGAGTGCAATTTGTGTTTTGAGCATTTTAAAAATAAATTCCCTGGCTCTTACTCGGTGCTTACCAAATTTGGTTAGGATTTGAAAATTTTTAGATGCGAACACATAACCTTAATCTAATCGCCTAATCTAATAACGTTATCACCATAATATTTTCGCGAGTTGCGGCGGATTGCACACTATCAATTTCTCACTGGTGACTCAGCTGTGTTTTACTTGTACTTGTGCACATTAGCTGTGTGTGGGGTAAGTCCAATCATTACATTTCACCTATTGTTTGTGTGAGTCTCTCTCTCTGAATGTACTTGCAAAGTAATTGTACATAAACATACATACAAGCACAAAAATATGCTCATTGGGATGAGTAATGCTTCCCATTATCATGTTTCAAATTGGTAATCTCTATCTTTGTGGCAGACCTTGGAGTCCACTTGTTTCTCTTTTCCTGTGTGCCCACTTCCTGTGTGTTGCTGTTGCATAGGAACAACTGTGGCAGGAAAACAAATAAATACTTGGCCAGGTGATAATAGTAATGACATGACATGAAAGTCAATGAGCCTCCTCCTCCCTCTAACTTTACCCCATGAATACAAAACACTCTTTGATGTCTCTTCTCTGCTTTATTCATATGTAATCTTGATAATACCTTATCAAGCAGCACAAATATAAACAGATTAATTATCATATACTTGTTTCAGTTATCAGTTTAATAAATTGCTTTATGTTTTAAATGTATATTTACATTCATTATAAATCACATAATTGATGTAAACTAATCACATTCATATACAACAATATTTGTTGATATTTGCAATTTATTGTAACTAACTAATTAATGTTTCCTTTGAAACAAATATTTTGATTTTTTAAAATTTTGTTTTGTTTAAATTACTAGAAATTGCTCTGTTAAACCAAATTGTGTTAATTCAATATTTTAAAGTATCTTTTTTAATTAGTATTATTGTGTCATTGTTTGTAACAAATTATGTGTGTTTATTATGCATGAGTCAGGGAGTCAGATGTTGAAACATATTCATAATTGCTTACAGCAAGTCTTTGCAGATTGAACATGGTAACTGTAAATTCTGTCACAGTTGCAAAAACCATATTGCATTTGTTTAAAAGATGTACAGTTTTCAAGTGCAAGTCTTCAATCTATTGGTTTGGCGCGCATCGTTGAATATTTCCTATGATGAAATGATGAATTAACAGATGATTTTCTTAAAGTTGTTGTTGTTATTTGCTTATTGATTGTTGTTCAGGATTTTGCTTAACAGTAGTATGTTTCAGATGTCTTTTCGTGTTGTGAGAAGTTCAAAATTTCGTCACGTTTATGGGCAACCTCTTAAACGTGAGCAGTGCTATGATAATATCAGGGTCAGCAAAAGTTCCTGGGATTCGACGTTCTGTGCAGTCAACCCCAAGTTCTTAGCTATCATCGTCGAATCGGCGGGTGGCGGAGCATTCATCGTTCTTCCCCACAATAAAGTAAGCTTAAACTTAACTTTACAGATGATACACTATTTTATTAAAATTTAATATGTTAGTTGATAGACGATTTAAATACGAATGTGTAAAGTGAGGTAAATTAATAACAATATTCGTTACGCAATGATTAGAAGCTTTGTTCAGCGGTATGACCATTTCATATTTACTAAGTAATCGTTAAGTCGCTAAGTACTCCTCATTAGAAATGAATTTATTTTCACAAAAAGTGCAATGAAAAAAAAAATCAATAGTATTAGTTTTATACTATTATAATTAAAAATAGTAATTACTAACGTACACGTTAGTAATTTTTGTGTGGGCGTCTCGTTTCTTTTTTCCATTTTTTTTTTCGGTTTCTTTTTTCGTAATGGTCGTGATTATGAAGCGAGAAGCATACATTATTTACGCTTTTAATTAACTTTCGGCTTAATTGTTGCATACGATTGGGTTTCTTTTACCTGTGCTCATTATGAAACATTAAATTAATCCATGTTGACCATGTTTTATTTAGCATTGATTTTATTGCAGCGCAACAGAATCAATTGGTTGTTGTTATCTAATCGTATGCACAGTTTCCTGCGATAAGTTAACCGCCTAACGTTTTCGGCGGTCGTAGATACTTATAAGAGTAATATTTTCAATTTCTTTATTTTTCATCCTTTGTGGGATCGTTGCCTAATTTGTCTTCCAGGTTACTTGAATTCCCGCGAGATCTAGATCAAATATTTGGATTACCGTCGTAGGTGGGTCCACTTGGAAAGCGAAAAATCTTAATCACGTACGAAAATATCCTCTCGTCGAATGAATTCGAAATTCCTTTCTGCTCGACACCGTTCCTCGCAACATATACAGGGTGGCCAAATTGTTTGCCTTTTCTTTAGTTGTATAAATTGGTTCTCAAAATCTATGGATGTAATTACTTTTTAAATAGAGAATTGAAGAAGTTTTATAAATATTCAATTTTTGTCCACCTTGTATGATTATATGCGTTTCTTCTCATCATTTTGAACTACGTTTCCTTTCCGTCATGTTTTTTTTTTCGCAGTGCGTCTGAGTCCCCGATGGCTATTAATACGACGGTCCACATTTATTTTTAATTTAGTCGAATTATTTCTGAGTTCGGTTTGAATCTGTGCCAAAGTGGTTGCGTCTGAATGATTTACGAAGCGTATGCACAAGCCGGTTTGTTTTCATATGGTTAGTGTGAATGATATTTTGTTTGTTTTTTAGGTGGGTAGAATCGCTGCAGATCATCCACTGATCGGCGGACACAAAGGGCCGGTGCTAGATATCGCCTGGTGTCCGCATAATGACAACATCATCGCTTCTGGGTCGGAGGATTGCGTGGTGAAAGTCTGGCATATTCCCGATGGCGGACTGATCAAGACGCTGACGGAGCCGCTGGTCGACTTAAAGTATCATCAGAGGCGCGTCGGGTTGGTCCTTTGGCATCCCACTGCGCAGAACGTCCTTCTGACGGCTGGAAGCGATAACCAGGTGGTCATCTGGAACGTCGGTGGGTTATCTTAATGCTTCTATGATTCAGTGTATTAACTAAGTTTTTTTTTGTAGGTACCGGTGAACCTATGGTTCAGATAGACTCGCATCCGGACATAGTATACAGTGCGTGCTTCAACTGGGATGGCTCCAAATTGCTCACCACTTGCAAGGATAAGAAGATCCGTATCATGGATCCAAGGACGGGAGAAATCGAGGCGGAGGCACTCTGCCACGAAGGTACTAAGGCGACGAGAGCAATCTTCTTGAGGCACGGACTTGTCTTCACCACTGGCTTTTCAAGAACATCTGAGCGGCAGTACTCTCTTCGTACTCCGGATTGCCTGAGCGAACCCATCGTGATGGTAGAGCTCGACACATCGAACGGAGTGATGTTCCCGCTTTATGACCCGGACACCAATTTGGTATATCTCTGCGGAAAGGGCGACTCGGTGATACGGTACTTCGAGATCACGCCGGAGCAACCGTACGTACACTACATCAACACCTTCCAGACGCCGGACCCGCAGCGCGCCATTGGAATGATGCCCAAGAGAGGAAACGACGTGACCAGCTGCGAGATTTCGCGATTCTACAGGTTGAACAACTCAGGCCTCTGTCAGGTGATCACGATGACGGTACCCAGGAAATCAGAGCTTTTCCAGGAAGATCTCTATCCTGACACGCTTGGTGACACGCCTGCACTTACCGCGGAGGAATGGATTGAAGGCAAGAACGCTGAGCCTTTGCTTATCTCCCTCAAGGATGGCTATAAACCGCCTGAGTCCAAGCGCATCAACATCATGGACAAGATTTCCCCGAAAACTGGAAGCAAACGAAATGCTCCTCCCGCTTCGCCGACGTCTGTAAGTTTTTTTCACTTTTCATATCTTTTTACTTAATATAGGTATTATAGCCTGCAATTATATTGATAAAAGAAAAGCATGAATAAGTGAATAGTGTTTTCTAATCTACAAATGCGTTAAGAGAAGCTTGAAGCGAAAAATGATGGTTAGATTGAATGTTAATGTTGAGTGTATTTTGTATGCTGCAGCAGGATAAAACTTTGCAAAAGTTCGCGGACGAAATTAGGAAATTAAAGGCCATGATCGTGAAGCACGAGAACAGGATTCGAGTATTGGAGGCGGCTGTTGGCATCAGCGATGAGGATGGTCCAGGAGGCGATGGCCTGAACGCCAATCCGCCACCACCTCTTGCGATGGATGACGAGGTGTGATAAATCGCAGCCAACCATTCGTTTTTCATGCCATCATCTCCCAACTTTCGTCAACTGTTTTTGTACTTAATTGTATATATATACATATATAATATGAAGTTATTAATTAATTTATTACATTTTTCGGCCAAAATGTTTTAAAATGAGCAGATGAAGAAGAAGCGCAAGAACAAATCCATCGATTGTTTGTTATATCATAGCTTACTACTACCACTTACTCACTATATATTACTACTATGTTTGTTTGATTTATTACTTTTTTTTATAAGTGCAATCACGCTGCTAATTTTAGGGCTACCTTCAATCAATGACCTCTCTAATTATCCTAACTAACGAAGGTGAGTTCCACACTTAATACTGTATCATTTATTAGTAATTTCGCGGCAAATTGATTATTAACCTCACCAGATCTCCCCTAACAACTAATCGGTTTCTTTATTTTTTTTTGTCTTAAAGTAATCTATACTTTTCTCTTTTTTTTTTTGTAGCTGTCTCTATTTATTAATTTTTATTACATTTTTTAAAAATATCTATTATATATAATTATTATTTTGTTTTTTTTTGTTTCGTTCGTTTTCACCCGAATCGGATGGAACGTCTCCGATGTTGGCGAAGTCTATTCTCTTAAACTTTTTGTTCTGCGTAGTTTGTTAGTCTCTAGTGTGCAATTCGAAGCGGTTTTACTATATATTGTAATGTTCATGACCTGTAGGGATATGAAATTTTGTTCTGTCTCAAAGAGGAGAAAGTATAACTCGTTGGATCTTTTGATTCGCGCAGCGAAACGTAAGTGCCTTCATCCAATGTGAATCCTTGTTAAAAACAACGCACAAATCGTTGCTTACTATATTTAATCTAAGTAAACATGGTAATGTTTTGTTTTTTTATCAATTAAAAAAAACACGACCTCTTTGAACTTCTATCAGTCCTTAGAAATTATATTTGAATTGAGGAAATGAAACAAAACATATAAAAAAAGAACATATATATTTGCAATGAAATGTTATAAATTTATGATATATATATAGATTTGTATATTGTTTTGTATCTTTTTTCTTTTGTTTTCTTCTTTTTATTTCAATTTTGTTGGTATTTTTTTATTAGAATCGCAAAGTGCCAAATATTAAAGATATTGTAAAGTCAAATAAAGAGAAATTAAGTGATTAACCTATATATATATATACATATTAAAAAATATCAAGTGTACGAAACTCGTATATCTGTCTATTCTTTCGCAACATCAAAACGTCCTTTGCATATTCTTATCCCTACCCTACCGCAAGGTTTCTATTATAAATATCAGCATAACTTTGGTATATCATTAAAAAAAACATAGTTTAGTGGGTGTTGGCGGTTGTTTAACGACGTTTGAAAAAAACTAGATTTTGGTTTACGAAAACTCCACCTATTTAGGGCGAGGCGAAGAGGAGGCGCGGTTTCGAATCGCACGCGAAAAAGAAAAAACGTTTATATTCAAGTACTAAAAATAGTTTATATTGTACAATAGAAATAAATAAATAATTTTTCCACGTCGGTTTTACAAACTACATCAGTTTCTCGCGCATTTTATTTGCACATGCGAAAAAGTCTGTCTAGAGTCGAGTGTTGCTACAGTCGAAGGTTTAGTCTTTCTTCATGTTTCCGCATGGTAATCCTCCTACTACACTAGAAACGAATAATAAACAGTCGAATTTTTTTTAAGAAAAAAAAAATGAAAAACTTCTCGTGATTAGTACAAATTTAATAAAATATTAAGCGCCACTACAGCTGCGCCTCTCACTGAGTAACATCTATGATATTCTTTGAATTGCGTTCAGCCATGGGGGGGTTGGTTTTCTTTTATACTTTTAGAAAATACACGAAAATAATTAAATAAAATATATCACAAATAAATGTTTTTTCCCTCTCGAAAACGTTTCAAATCTTATATAGCTGAGCATATCAATTATTAAATTATCTTTCTAACTTAGAATAAATTAATCGTACCAATATAGCATGTATATATATGTATCACCAGTAATTGAAGAGATTAAATATTTGCTTAAATATATATATAGAAAGGTGTATATATATATATTTAGTAGTAGTGGTGTTACTGTGAGTAGTGTTCATTGCTTTGCTTTTCAAGTGAAGAGGGGTAAGTTGTGGAAGTGGTAACCCCTTTTGCCTTTGGCTGCTAAGTATATGTAGACCACATGGTATGCCCCAGGCACGAAGCAGATGAAACCAGTGAGTAGAAAGACAGCTCCTTGGAGACCGGCCTGTGGCTCTGCTAGTGCCAGCGCTCCCGTCGCCAGTAGTCCAATGCCAATAAAGAGGAGGGTGGTGGCTGCTAGGACCATCCTCCAGTTCTCTCTGACTTTTGGGTGCCTGAAGCAGGATCTGGTGAGGTTCTCCTGGCTTGCACTATCATAGCAGTCTTGGATAAGGGAATCTGAGTCCCGTGATGTTTCATTGACAAGTTTATAGTTCCTGCAAGCAACAGAAAGATGTAACAATGATATATGAATGTTGGAAGAGGTAGTAAACTACCTTGCACAGTCAATCTTGACTGTATCATTGCGACCCTCGACGGGCGACATCTGCGTGGTCGAACCATATACGCGGATGGCTTCGTCAGTTTCCTCCTCAAAGGCGTCGTCAATGGAAAACCTTTTGGGCCTCGCACCGCCTGACGATCCATCGCTGCTGCCCAGGCTGAACGGTTTCGTGGACATATTCCTCGTATTGTTTCAAGCTATCTCAATTTCTTCTCATAAAGTCCAATCCAAACGTTTTGGAGGAGTCAAGTCATGGTGTATTCGCAATTACGCACGACGCACTCATTCATCTCTCATTGCAGGCAAATCGAAGCACGTAAACAACAATAACAACACCGCTCAGTCCACTGTCAAAGTACAACAAAATGGACGGAAACGTCGTAAAACAACCGACGTAATTATATGCAGCAAACACATCACCAATAGCATTGAGAGAGAGAGAAAGACACACACGCAGAATGAAAACTGCAACAGCTTTTGCTTAAACAATATGAACAAATCGAACAATACCACATTATTCAAAATCAATTAGTTTTCTAATTGCACAGCAAACAACCATATCTGAAATAGAATTTACAAGTAATGTAAGTTGCCTATAACATATCTCCACTATATATCAAAAGCAATAAGATCAAGCATTCGAATTATTTAACTTCAGTTATTACTACGCGAATTCATTTATATTAGATTGTACAATAAATTATTATTTTTAGTATTATGGAAAATGTGTACTGTAACCTTTCATTCAAAGATGGCACTGCTTACATGGAATTTGTAATTAAGCCGCCATCAATATGAAATAATCCTATCGCTTGTTTAATTTAACTTATAATCTTTATTAAATAGATAGTCATCATAAGCAAATTTATTAAATGATGAAAAGAGAATATTTTGAATTAGTAAATATGTAATTCGTTATATCAAAAATTAGTACATTCAATAGAAAAGTGAAATCTAAATTATTTTAAATAGTCTGAAATGTTATAAAAGTAATACACTTTAAAAACTTCAGAGGCGAATGAAGAAGCGTACTTCACCATCAGCAACGATGGACCACATGGCTTTAGCCGCCTCGATTCTTGCAGTCCGACAAAAAGGGAAAGAAGGTGGTGGTGGAAAAGAAGGAGGAGGAGGACGCTCACCTCGCCTTCTCCTTTTAATACGACTCTTATTTATGCCGAATCCGTGCGCATCTAATCGCAATTATAAAATCTACATAAGTCACGCAACAAAAGACCAAACATAATTACCAAAAAAGGAAGAACAAGAAGACATTATGATGATGATGATGATGCTAAAGAAAAATAAGACGACAAAGTCGAAATCTACTACTACTACTAGCACGACGATGATGATGATGATGAAGAGATGGTCAAGGATGAGAAGAAAGAAGAAGTCCGGTCGGTCGGTCGGTCATCTTGGCCGTGGGGAATCTCTTTATAATTATTGATCGCATTCAAATGGTTTACTAAAAGGAATTCAATTAAAATCGCGCGCGCACCGAAATCAATTTACACCGAAAAAGGTACTTTTTGTTTGGCCAATGAAAAATTTCTCTCTTTCTCATGTTTCTTCGCTACATATAATCTGAAGCTAACAATGTTAAGTGCACTTAACACGGAGATTAATTATTATCTTGCCGAATTACGGCGTTTACGAAATAAAGAAAGAAAAAGATGAGAAGAATCGAACGAAAAGGTTTTGATAGTGAATGCAGTTTTGCGCGCGCGGCATTCCCACTTCGACCAACCGGATTAAATTATATACACATTAACATTTAAGTTTGAATCATAGACATCTAGTTTCATGTTTTCAACTACCACAGTTTGTTATCTTGATTTCGCTACGCCTTCTATTGACAATAATTCTTAAGTATAAACTGTTGATATTAACATTTCGCTATTTTCGATCCGTAACGTAACGTGAGGTAAGATGGTATTATGCGTGCGAGAGTTGTATTGAGTTGTCCGCATGGCATTATGCTGAGTAATTCTGGTGGTAATTTCGAATGCATTGGAAAGTGTTGGTGTGTAAAATACACATTGACATATCTATGTAGATTTATAGTGTGCTTCGTGGAGTGGCTGTAAACGCATAAAATGTCTTAATGCATGCACGCCGCTGCTGCCGGTAATGGAACTCCATATTCTGCAATGCTTTAATTAAGGAACAAAGAGCCCATTAACGTTGTCCTCGGTAATAACTGTTCATATATATTTATATATATTCGCCCAGTTCGAACTCTTCTCAATCTATTTATGCTTGATTAAAAGTATTTGTTAATTGATGTCTTAAGGTTTAAACATTCTCCGTCAAATGACACCACAAAAGAACCCTTAGGAAATTGTAGATGTTAGATTTGTGGATAACCTTTTTTATATATTTGTAACTCAAAATCTTTTACACATATAATACACACATAATAAACAATTGTTACTTCAATAGTTTTACACTAAACTCAATCATTTTATGTATTCTGCAGAATACCGAATTATATACACAATTTCAATTAATTTAATTTCAAAATTAGTAAACTGTTTCCAAACGAAACAAATTGTGAAGGAACACGTTCACAACGAATGATAAAACATTTTTGCAGATCGAACATGTGCGTACAAAGTATCCGTTAACGACGTGCGTTAATTCAACAATTATTATTATCACCGTCATCATCAACATCATCTTGTGCATTTACGTTCGGAAAGGAGGGGTATTTATGAAAATATTCCTTATTAATTACAAGAAATTTAATCTATTAGCGTTTGGGACGTAAATCTCGCGAGATGCAAGCACTTGGGTTTATGGGGGTCATCAAAATCATCAAACGAGTTTATTTGCATTTCGCGGCAAAACCAAAATTCGCGAATGATTATTTCCATTTAACACGATTTGTATAGTCTTCTAATGAATTAAGTATATTTAGTCTATTAAGAAATTGATTTCAATACAAAAAACAGTATAGAACTTCATATAAAATAACTATTTCCTGTAGTATTTCCTAGAGTATTTTTTATTTAATTTACTCACGTAAATTGTTTGTATTTATTATGTTTAGCGGTGTCAATTAATAATACGAGCGCAATGGAAGAGATGGCGTTGCAATCAAATTTGACTATTTTCTATAATTTGAATGAAATCTCATTTATTTTATAAAACTTCACCTAACAACGAATCTATCGTTCCTCTTAGGATGATCTGGTAATTAATGCTCCCGCTATACGTATTGAGGAAGGTTGTAGGATAGAGAGAGAGATGAGAACGATGTTGGTTGGCTTCATCTTCTTCTTCATGTTGTTGTTGCTGTTGTTTTATTTTTTTTGTCTTGAGGTGGAAATGTTAATCAGTCGCACGCGAAGTATGCAAGCGGTGGCTGCCGGAGTGGCCGCATTATGGATGTGAACCGACCCGAACAATGCCTTTATGTTTGTTAATTAGCGGCCAAAAACAGAATTCGCCCGATGTCTGGCATTGTTCGGTGCGAATTAAATCGGCATCGACATTGCTCGGTTACGTTAAAAATCCATCGTGGTCGGCGCATTCAGAAAATTCCTTTCGGTAACGTTCAAACGCACACAAACATACACACACATATATATATAAATCGCTATATATACACATCCACACTCATTTAGTATATAAAGTGCAGGATAAAGCCACTTAACTAACAACATTGTTTGTTTTAGTAGAAACCAAAACAACCCTAAAATCTCTATTCGTGTCATTTTGAATGTTATAAACCAGGTCCGGCTCAAGCAATATTTTAAACTGACACCTTTTCTTGTAGCAATTGTTTCAATTTCTTACATCGTAAATAGTCTATGACAGATGTCGGCAAGCTTTTGTCGTAGGAGAGCCATACCTGTCTCTCAGCATTTAAAAATGTTAACATTTTTATTTCATATGAGCCGCAGTTTGCCGACCCTTGTTCTATATCATAAATACTTTGCATCCATATATAGTTTCTGTTTTCATATACAGATCTTTATAAATGTTTGTATTTACGTGTATATGCGTGTGTGTGTGTTACATATATATATATATATGTGTGTGAGTGTGTGTAAAGCTTTGGAGCATTTATTGCTGCGAACAGATTGTTTTTATTTAAGTTGGAAGCACGTAGCTCAGAACCCGTTTAAACAACCACCGTTCACACACACACACTTCGTGTGCTTTGAAAGAGACCAAGAGCACAACAAACATTCGACTCTTTGATTCTATATATAAATTAACTTTTCATTTTGGTTTTGTTGCATAAGTTTCGAAAGCGAAAATATGTCAGTAAGTAATAAAAGCGGAATGGGTGATACCGCCACCGCGGAACTATCTTATCCTCTTCGGTAAATTGTTGGCTTCCATCCATGCAGGATGAGAATGAAGAGCAGGACCATTAGAGCATTACAATTCCAGAAGATAGTTCGGATTCTGATTGATACTCGCCGGATCGAGGAGAGAAGTGGAGTGGAGAGATGTTTTAAAGGCTTCGGGTTTCTCCACTCCAGCAGAATTCGCATGGTTTCGACTCTCTTACTGCCTTCTCCTTCTTAAGAAACTGGTTGGTAGCTGTGGAGGTGCGCGCGGTCCTCGGTCCCATAGGGCACGCGGTTCGCGGAAAGTCGCATTTAACCCAGACAGGAATCCGATGGTAAAATGCATCCGTTTTTGCCACCGCCAAAATCGACCGAACACGAGGCATACTAATCACCCTGATGCTGCTGCTGCCTCCTCCTCGACTCTCATCCCCTCGCACTACTTCTTCGAGGATGGATGGATGGATTGTTGGAAGGAAGGATTGGTGGACTTCTTCGACCTTCTTCGACCGTCGTCTTTCTCCTTTCCTTCGCTCTCTGTCTAAAGTCATTCCGTCATGATGCTGATGACAAATATTCGCGTCCTGCGACCCACGGACCCATCTCCTTTAAATACGCACGCGGCGCAACGCAAAAACGCATTTTTGCAACAAATTAAAAGCGCGTTAGTTTTTCTGCAAACTTCTCCTTCTTCTTCAACATCTTCCGACCCTCGCATCTTCCTAAGCAGTTATTCTACTCATTTTAATAAGTCCCAACCGACGGAGAAGACCGCCACGAAAAAAACTACGAACCCACGAATACCGTTCATTACTCACAAACTACCAACATCTAATTAACTTTCCACCACAACTTGAACAAACATAATTATCAATTTCTATCCAAAAAACAGGAACTACTCTTCAGAATTTTAAAATTTTTGCTAAAACTACAATAATCCAATCCATTTTTTAGGACCCTAAATTACAAACAATTGCTTGAAGTTACAATTCTCTTATTATTTGAATCGATTTTCTCTTCAGGTTTTCTATTGAATTAGTAATGCACAAGTTCGAATCGAGAAAACGTAGACACGGACAGCAGACAAGAGAAACGCGAGTGTCCTACTTCCTAATAAAATCCGCTCTTGCAGTTTATATTTCAGCGCACCCATTGAGAGGAATGGATATTGCCGCAGACGCAGCCGCCGCCGCCGCCGTTTTGTGGCCTTCACATTTAACCGACTCGATTATTGTTGCAAT